CCTTCTGCCTCTTTAATAAGATTGTAGACAGAGAGTATAATTCTATGAGGGGACAGAAGGAATATGTAATTTAGTGTCCTTTTCCTGAGCCAATTTGAACTTTGTGCATGTAAAATCTTGCATGCTTCAGGTGTAAAAAGTGATCTGTTGTCTCAGCAATTGTGTTGTGTAAGCTAAATAATGTCATGAGTCTATCCAACAATCAGAGGTTCTCTGGTTATGTGTCCTGCATACTTAAGAGTTTCACACATCACCTTTCTCTCATGAATAGACATCTACATTGAGGGAAACTAGCTCAGCTGAGTTCGTTCACAAGCAAATTTATGCCGGCCACCATCACAGAAACTTGCCTGTTGTCTGAGGTAGAAACTCAGGCATTGTCCTTGACTCTCATGTTCCTTCATGCCTCACATGAACTCAGTTTGACCCAGTCTCTCTGATTGACCTCTTCTGTTCAATCCCCGTGGCCACTGCCCTCATCCAAGCCCACTCATTTCTTAGCTGAATGAGGACAACAATCTCTGAACAATCTCCCTCCTTGTTGCCCCCTCCCATCCTTCTTCCAGTCTCACTCATGCCGCACATGAACCTTAAGCCCCTCCCATGGCTCCCATTGCCAGATGATGGTGGTTGTCCTTCTCCACCTGGCCCTGGTGACCCTTCGTGATTTGATGCCATTTACCTTTGCAATCTATTACCCATAGCTCCCTTACATGTATCTTTGGTCCCACCACAGTAGATGGCTTGTGGATCCCCCATGTTCCATGGTTTGTTACACCTCCGTTCATAGATTCTTACCCTGGATCCATGGAGAGAAGAACTCAAGTGGACATGTGAGTGTCCTAAAATAAGAATACAGGATTCTGTGTATGTGTGTGTGTGTGTGTCTAGGAGGAGAATCCTTAGTTTTCATAAATACTTCAAGAGGATCTATGAAACTCCTCTTCTCTATAAATTTTACAGAACATGTCCTTCCCCTTCAATGCAGTGTCTCACCTCTCCACCCTGGTGAATGGTTTTTGAAGACCCTCCTCAAATATTGCCTACTTTTCTGCTTGTTGCCCCTTTCTTGGTGTTCACTGTCACTGGTTACCTAGCCCGTATCTGATTGTGCTTTAATTCCTTGTTTACATACCTGTTGCCTCTATTAGACCATGAGCTGCTGGGGGTAGGAACTATCTCACTCCTCTCTACCCCATTCTCCAGCACAATGTCTAGGATATAGTTGCTGTTGTTGGTGGTGGCGGTTGCCATGGAGTCATTTCCCACTCACGGCTACCCAAGTATGCAGAGTAGAACTGCCCTATAGGGTTTTCAAGACTGTGTGGCCTTTTAGGAGCAGATTACCAGGCATTACTTCCAAGGTGCCTCTGGATGGGTTCAAACACCCAGCCTTTTGGCTAAACACTTAACCATTTGCTCCACCCAGGGACTCTAGCATATAGTTGTTGTTGTTAGGTGCCATTGAGTCAGTTCTGACTCATAGTGACCCTGTGTACAATAGAATGAAACACTGCCTGGTCCTGTGCCATCCTCACAATCGTTGCTGTGTTTGAGCCCATTTTTGCAGCCACTGTGTCAGTCCATCCCATTGAGGATCTTCCTCTTTTTCACTGACCCTCTACTTTACCAAGCATGATGTCCTTCTCCAGGGACTAGTCCCTCCTGATAACATGTCCAAAGTACGAGAGACAGAGTCTCGCCATCCTTGCTTCTAAGAAACATTCTTTCTGGACTTCTTCCAAGACAGATTTGTTTGTTCTTCTGACAGTCCATGGTATATTCTGTATTATTCACCCAACAGCATAATTCAAAGACATTGATTCTTCTTCAGTCTTCCTTATTCATTGTCCAGCTTGTACATGCATATAAGGTGATTGAAAATACCATGGCTTGGGCCAGTCACACCTTACTCCTCAAGGTGACATCTTTGTTTTAACACTTCTGCAGCATATTTGCGCAGTGCAGTGAGTCATTTGATTTCTTGACCGCTGCTTCCATGGGCGTTTATCGTGGATCCAAATAAAATGAAATCCTTGACAACTTCCATATTTTCTCCATTTATCATGATGTTATTTACTGGTCCAGTTGTGAGGATTTTTGTTTTCTTTATGCTGAGATGTAATCCATACTGAAAGCTGTAGTCTCTGATCTTCATCAGTAAGTACTTCAAGTCCTCTTCATTTTCAGTAAGCAAGGTCGTGTCATCTGCATATCGCAGGTTGTTAATGAGTCTTCCTCCAGTCCTGATGCCGAATTCTTCTTTATGTAGTCCAGCTTCTCAGATTATTTGCTCAGCGTACAGATTGAATAAAGTTGGTGAAAGGGTTTAACCCTGACACACACCTTTTCTGATTTTAAACCATGCAGTACCCCCTTGTTTTGTTCAAACAACTGCCTTTTGGTCTATGTACAGGTTCTGCATGAGCACAGTTAAGTGTTCTGGAGTTCCCATTCTTCGCAGTGTTATTCAGGATTTGTTATGATCCACACAATCCAGTGCCTTTGCATAGTCAGTAAAACACAGGTAAACATCTTTCTGGTATTCTCCGGTTTTAGCCAAGATCCATCTGACATCAGCAATGATATTCCTTGTTCCATGTCCTCTTCTGAATCCAGCCTGAATTTCTGGTAATTCCCTGTCAATGTACTGCTACAACTGTTTTTGAATTATCTCCAGCGTACTTTTACTTGCATGTGACTTTAATGATATTGTTTGATCGTTTCCACGTTCCATTGGATCACCTTTCTTTGAAATAGGCATGTATATGGATCTCTTCCAGTCAGTTGGCCAGGTATCTGTCTTCCAAATTTCTTGGCAAAGACGAATGAGTGCTTCCAGCTTTGCATCTGTTTGTTGAAGCATCTTAACTGGTATTCCATCAATTCCTGGAGGCTTGTTTTTCGCCAATGCCTTCAGTGTAGCTTGGATTTCTTCCTTCAGTACCGTAGGTTTTTGATCATGTGTTACCTCTTGAGTTGTTTGAATGCCGACCAGTTCTTTTTGATACAGTGACTCTGTATTCCTCCCATCTTCTTTTGAGGATGCTTCCTGTGTCATTCAATTTTTTGCGCATAGAATCCTTCAGTATTGCAACTTGAGGTTTGAATTTTTTCTTCAGTTCTTACAGCTTGAGAAATGCGAAGCGTGTTCTTCCCTTTTGGTTTCCTAACTCCAGGTCTTTGCACATTTCATTATAATACTTTACTTTGTCTCCTTGAGCTGCCCTTTGAAATCTTCCGTTCAGCTCTTTTACTTCATCATTTCTTCCTTTCACTTTATCTGTTCCGTACTCAAGAGCAAGTTTCAGAGTGTTTTCTGCCATCCATTTTGATTTTTTTTTTCCTTTTCTGTCTTTTTAATGACCTTTTACTTTTTTCATATATGATATCCTTGATGTCATCCTACATCTTATCTGGTCTTTGGTCATTAGTGTTCAGTGCATCAAATCTGTTCTTCAGATGTTTCTGTATTCAGGTGGAATATACTCAAGGCCGTACTTTGGCTCTCATGGACTTGTTTTTTTTTTTTAATTTTCCTCAGCTTCAACTTCAGCTTGCATATGAGCAGTTGATGGTCTGTTCTACAGTCAGCCCCTGGCCTTGTTCTGATGGATGATACTGAGCTTCTCCATCATCTCTTTCCACAGATGTAGTCAGTTTGATTCCTGTGTATTCCATCTGGTGAGGTCCACATGTATAGTCATCATTTTTACTGTTGAAAAAAGATATTTGCAATGAATAAGTCATTGGTCTTGCGAAATTCTATCATGTGATCTCTGGCGTCGTTTCTATCACCAAGGCCATACTTTCTAACCACTGATCCTTCTTTGTTTTCATTTTTTTTATTCCAATCTCCGTAATTATCAGTGAACCTTGATTGCATGTTCGATCAATTTCAGGCTGCAGAAGTTGGTAAAAATCTTCAGTTTTTTCATCTTTGATGTTAGTGGTTGGTACATAAATTTGAATAATAATATTAACTGGTCGTCCTTGTAGGCATATGGGTATTATCCTGTCAATGACAGTATTGTATTTCAGGTTAGAGCTTGAAGTGTTCTTTTTGATGATGAATGCAACACCATTCCTCTTCAATTTGTCATTCCCGGCATAGGAGACCACATGATTTGTCTGATTCAGAATGGCTAATACCAGTACATTTCAGCTCATTAATGCCTAGGATATCGATCTTTAAGCATTCCATTTCATTTTCGACGAGTTCCAGTTTTCCTTGATTCATACTTCGTACATTCCATGTTCCGATTATTAATGGATGTTTGCAGCTGTTTCTTCTCATTTTGAGTTGTGTGACATCAGCAAATGAAGGTCCCGAAAGCATTACTTTAAAGAGGCAGCTCTTCCCCAGTCATTTTCCAGCACTATATCAGACAGTGTTCCGCTGCTGTCAGTTTTTCAGTGGTCAGTTTGTTCAGAAGCAGATCCCCAGGTGCTTTTTCCCAGTCTGTCTTAGTGTGGAAGCTTCACTGAAACCTATCCACCATGTTTGACTCTGCTGGTATTTGAAATACCAGTGGCATAACTTCCAGCATCCCAGCCACACACAAGCCACTGCAGTACGACAAACTGACTGATGAGTAGTGGAGCATATAGTTAGCTCTTAATAAGTACTTACCGAAAAGGCGAACAAGACTAGGAAGGGCACACCAGACCACTTGTCTCTGTAGAACACTCACACCCAACTTGGCCATAAGATTCATGGTCACTTCTCAGTGTTTTGAGTGGCTTCATAATCTCAGCATTGCTTCTACCTACATTTTCCCTCAGGACTGGGCCCCACGTATTCCTTGTCTCCTTGTATTTGTTGGCAGGCACTTACTCTAAAAGTTTGAAGGCCCAGTAGTCCAGCAACTACATGGAGAAGTCAAACTTCCATTTGCAGCAGGAACTTGCTTGATGTATAATGATTTTTAAATTACTTCTTGACAAATTTTGAGCTCTTTGTTTTTTTTCTTTTTTTTCTTTCTTTCATTCCCTTTCAGATTGATGCACTGAGTAAAAGAAGTAAAGAGGCTGAGGCAGCCTTCTTGAATGTCTACAAGAGATTGATTGATGTTCCAGGTAAGCATTCATTTCCCCCAGCGGGGCTTGTGTCTGGTGAGTTGGTAGGTTATGGGAACATGAAGTCTCCAAAACCCAGACTTTTGATAGGTATGGAAATTGGATGCCCTTGTTAAAGTAGTGACTTAATCTCTAACTGATGCCTCTGTAAAGCAGAAACCCAAATCTGTGTGACTACCTTGACATGTGGTATAAAATGTTGCATGTATCACAGAGAAGAAATGAACAGCTATGTGGGCTGTGCAGACATCAGGGTTCTGGGGTGAGCCATCCTGTGTTTAGGAATGGCTTTAATAGGATCATCCAGGTAATCAGTGACCTCTGACCAAGTCTCACTTAAAGGCTGTCTTGGTTATCTAGTGCTGCTGCAACAAAAACACCACAAGTGGATGACTTTAACAAACGGAAATTTATTCTCTCACAGTTTAGGAGGCTAGAAGTCTGAATTCAGTGCGCCAGCTCTAGGGGAAGGCTTTCTCTGTCAGCTATGGGGGAAAGTCCTTTCCTTCTTTGAACATCTGTGGTCCTGGTGTTCCTTAGAGATCGCCATGTGTCTTGGCATCAATCTTCCCCTCAGTCTAGCAGGTTCTCAGTGCAGGGACCTCATGTCCAAAGGATGTGCTCCAATCCCGGCTCTTCTTTGTTGGTGGTAGTGAGGTCCCTCTCTTCTCTGCTTGCTTCTCTCTCCTTTCATCTCTTGTAAGACAAAAGATGTGACTCAAGCAAGGGTGTGACTTGAGTAAGGGTGTGGCATGAGTAAGGAGGTACAACTCAAGATATACCCCACCCTAATCCCACCTCATAGAGGTTTTAGGATTCACAACACATAAAATGGAGGGTAGTTAACATAATATCACAAAATGAAGGATAATTATATACTACTGGGAATCACGGTCTAGCCAAGTTGACACATATTTTTAGGGGGACACAATTCAATCCATGACAAGGGCTATAGCCAAAGGGCAACTGGCAGCCTCTTTAGTTACAACTAATTATGTGGATTGTTTCATCTTTTAAAGCAACTGAAGAGTTTAGAATTTAAGTAATGCTTGTTAGACATTGAGAGATGATGGCTTCCAATTCTTTGTTTTAGAAAAGTGGGGCAGGGTTTAGAGTGACTGAGCCCACCAGTCCTGCTGGTCCTCTGTTCCCAGGTGTTCCACACACCTAGAGTCCATGGAGGAGGTGACAGACATGACCACAAGGGTCCCAGCTCAGTCCTGGAGAGACACTTGGATGTCTTCCTCTGTCAGCCAAGGAAACCAAGTTACCACAACCCTCCCTCCTCCCCTCACCACCCACTGTTGTTTCATGTTTACTGCCCTTATTAGTAATTGTCTGAGCAGCGTTGACATTGCTGGAGCTAGTTTAACAAAGCAAAACAGAAACAGTACTCCTTTGAACCTCTACTTGTCTTCTGATTCACGTCTGCTGTAGGCTCTGCTGTTCTCTCTTAGAGCCAGCCCCAAGGTGTAAGGAGCAGCATTTTGGACACAGAGTGGAGAGATCCAGATTCTCCTGCCAGGAGCTGCTTGTGAGGTCTTGGTCACGTTACTTTTACTCCCTGGACCTCAGTTTTCTCATCTGTAAAAAAAAAAAAAAAGGGGGTGGTGGGGAGGAAAGCCTAGTGATAGAGAATGGTTTTCTTTCTGTTCTGACATTATATAGTTCATGATCTTATGTCTTCTTTGGATGGCGCATTCCTTCCCCTCCCCTGTATTGCCCCTTTCTGGGGTAAATTCTATGTGGTGTTTAGCCTGAGATTTTTCCTCAAAGAAGGTCAGGATAGTGTTGGCACTTCCTTTGATGTCACTGCATCATTTTGTGCAGTGCTGACCTGAGACTTTCTGTTAACCTTTTGCTGTCTTAGGAGGTCCTTCAGCTCTTTGTTCCAAATTCTAGACTTTTGATTTTCTGCAAGAGTTTGTATTCAACTAGGCATTCCCTGAGGACTCTGACTGAGGCTTATGAAGAGTCTCCTTCACAGACAGTTGATCATTCGATGCCCAAGGTGTGCTGTCCTCAGGTGTCCTTCAGTTTGGTGGGGCATCTCCTGCATTTCCTTGTGCTTAAGGTGGTGACTTAGAATTTTTTCTCCAAACCATGTCATGTCCACACTGACTCAGTGAGAAAGAATTTGCAGGGAAAGTGCAACCTGGGCTTTTGAGAAATATAACTTTCTGTTTCCAAAGATGCTTCATTCTTTATGTTTTCTGTTTTTACCTCCTACTCAGAAGGGCTCTGCTCCATCGTGGGCTACAGCAGCTCCTGCCACCACAGAGCAGAAGCCAGAAAGGGAATGTGTTCCAGCTAAGAACTCTGTCGTGTTGGTGGTGTAGTTAAAAGGGGGCTGGCTTATTTTGTCTTGTCCAAAGACCCAGAGAGCGTTTATTCTCTTTTTTTAAAATAAGAAATCGAGTTTCTACCTGGGCTTTCTCCTGGTGAGGTTTCTGAACTGGGCTACCACTTTAGCAAGTCGTTGGATTTCTTTTTCTGCAATTATTTTCCCTCCTAATTTCCCACAGAAAATGAAGAGACTTTTTTTTTCCATCAACATTGTTCTTTGTCTGAGCAGACCTTATCCATGTGTAATTTTTACATAATTGTGATCATAGCATGAATATAATTTATGTCAGGCTTTTTTCACTATAGTTTCACCATAAGCATTATTCATATTGGTGATATCCTTCATGATTATCATTTTTCGCTGAAGAACAAAAGTTTCCAGCTTAAATTTCACATGGTGAGAGTGAATGATTTATGATGTTTTCTACAGTAAAAAAAAAGTCAAGCCAAATACATCTGTATGCCTTGTAGATCACTTTTACCCGCCTCCCAGGTATGTCTTCCTTACCAGCGTGAAGGTGTGGCCTGACAGAGCTAACAAGCTACTTGAAAAGCAGGAAGGAAGCATGGAGCACTCTACCTGTGTTTTGCAGCCTGATGATTGCACAGATGAAGTAATCCTGTGGCTGAGGCTTACAGGAAGGGCCCTGGTCAATAGCGTTACATTTACTGACAGTCACACCTTTGGAGGGAGTCAGTGTGCCTTAGCTGTCTGTGTGCTTCAGGCTTCAGCCCAGTCGAGCCCAGAAACAGTTGTGGGGTGCTTTAAGTTCTTCTAATTGCAAGGAACAGCAACTCATGCTATCTCAAGAAAATGGAGGAAAAGCTTTTAGGAATCATGAAACAGGTATTTCAGCTATGTGCCATGTGGCCGGCCTGCAGGAACCCAGGAAAGCTGACCAGCCAGCCTGGGAAAGGGGTGGAGCCAGAGTCATGCCTGGCCTTAGATACTGGTATGGGAACCCCGACTGGACCAGCCCCCACACACCATCCCTTCCTGACATCATGTTTACTTATGTGTTTTATCATTATTTGTCATTATTTATAATTATCATTATTTGTCCGACCCACTAGAATGAAAGCTCCTTGAGGTCAGAGCTTTGCTTCACTGCTATATCCTTACCGCCTAGAACAGGACCTGACATACAACAGGTGTGCCGTGACAAATGGCTGAACGAGTCAGTCAACCCAGAGCCACCCTAGAGTCCTCAGCAGCAGATTTTATGAAAGTTCATACTAGTGACTCTTAAAGCTTTGTCTCCAGCACCCCACCCCCCATCCTTGTCAGCCTGCATATCTGACTGCCCCCGGGCATTCCTGTAGGGAAGGTGGATGGGCTCCTGGTGAGTTCAGTGGAAGCTATCCTCCTGCCTTCCCTCTCTCCGTATGTGGCTTCACCTTAGAGGCAGCTGCCCACACCAGAGCACCTGGTCACCAAATCCTAGCCAGGTTACCTCCAGAATGTTTCTCAGTTCCATCCGCTTTTCTCCATCCCAACGTCTGCCCTCCGCTCCGCACTTCAAGCCACTGATCTCGTGTCTACAGAATTGCCACAGCCTACAAACCAGTCTCCTTGCTTGCGGGTTTGCCTGCCTCTCATCCATCCTACACGCTGCAGGCAGTCCAACCTCAGCCCGGCGCCAGGCGCCTCCACAGCTGATCCCTGTTGACTGTCTCAGATTAACTCGTTTGGACACTGCTTCCTGACAGAGGCCTTCCCTGACACCCAGTCTGGCTTAGGTGTGCCCTTCTCACACACACACCCCTCTCCCAGGACCCGTGTTTACCCTCAAGTATACTTGGTAACTCCTCTGTTTTCCTTTCTAGCTGGACAGAGACTGGGACAGTGTGATCTTGTCCCTAATTGTTTCCTTGATGTCTAACTCAGTGCCTGCCACCTACCAGAAACTTAATAAGTATTTGTTGAGTGAGTAAATAAATTAATGGATCAAATTATTTCTTCAAAATGCTTTCTGAACACTGTTGGTCTCAGGCTTTAATTGTTCACATTGAACCCAACTCTGGAGATTGACACTTCCGTTGAGAGAGAGCACTCTGGAGCATTTAACAACCTAAACTGCAAGAGAACAGAATGTATCTTTCATTGAGTTGTAGCAGTTCAATAGCTCTCTGAACTCTCATTTTGCTTTAGTGTCACTCTATAAAGATTTACATGCCTGCATAGACATTTATATGGCACTTAGCATTCTGTGTTCATCAGACCAGCACGTGAGCTTCCGAGGCCTCCGGTTTTGTAGCTAGTACTTGATGTCCAGAACCGGTGTTTGGCTGAAGAGCTGTCCTACTGACGTTCCAAACTTCATATACCTGGCACCAAACATGGGCTGTCCCTCCTCCCCAACCCATTCGCCTCCTGCCCTCCTCTCCTTCAGGACTGTGACTCAGCTGTTCAAGAGTCACCCTTGTCTTCTCCTCCTTCTCCATCTTCCACATCCAGAATCCCAAGTGATGTTATTTCTCCTTCCAAAATGCCCTTCATCTTAAAGACACTTAATTAACACTTAAATAGGTATTAGCATTGAACTAATACTGCCCCAGTAAGTCCTCTGGACAATTAAAATAGTTAAGACACCATATTTGCATTCTTTCTCGTTTGCGACCAGGTCATTTCCTCATTCCTTAGTCAAGTTTTT